TACTGCATAGCCGGCAGCGGAAGGAGGAGGAAAGTCCAAGTAGACATTTATTTATCTCATTTTTTGTGAAACAAAAAAAAAGTACGAGCGTATTCCAGCGTCGCACCGAGGAACACCAGTACACACCACTGTCCTGGCGGAGACCAAAAGCTACCTGAATGGCTTTTCCTTCCACATATATATCGCGAAGAGTTCCCTGAACCTTCCCCCGCGGCTGGGCTCTACGGCTCTGTTAAGTTTCATGAGTAAACGAATGAACGGTCTTCGAAAGAAGGTACTGCGTCTCACGGTACTCGCCCTTCCCTTCGCGTACAAATACAGATAGCGCCCCCAGTTAAGAAATATTCTGTAAAGAGAAAAGGCTAAAGTTTGTACGAAAAATAAGAAAAAAGGGCTGAGAAACATAGCTCGACCTCGGCCACAACGTGAGAAACGCCCCAATAAGAAACATGATGGTGCGATACCCCCATGACATCAGAAATCTGCGGTGCTCCCACCCCCCTCCGAAGCTGAACAGAAGTGCATTTTTTTGCATCTTGTTTTTTGCAAGGGGCAGAGCCCCCCCCGCCCCCCCCGCACTCCTGCTGTTCACGGTGAGTGCTGTACTGTAGTACTGCCACACATCGCCGTCAACCATATGCTCTCCGCTGTTGTAAGTGTTTGATGGCACTCTCCACCACCTCTCTTGAGGGCTTGGTGATGTGGATTGTCCTCCGAGATCACAAAACAGAAAAAAGCAAGTACTTGTTGTAGTCTAAGGAATAAGAGAATCGGGGGGATGCGACAGTCCAAGAAATACCATTTACGAAAATGGACGACTTGGGCCGGTGCTTCGACCCAAAAGAAGGGATTGAGGCTCGATCCGATTTTGACGTTTCTTAACTGCGGGCGCTATCTGTAGGATCGAACATCCTCCAAGCGAGAGCTAACCTCGCCCCCGGTGAGGGACGAGGTTACGCACGACTTTTTTTTTGCCGGCATCAGATGGACCGCCGGTAGATCGGAGGAATCTATCCATGACAACACCCTGTTACAGCTGCAGCAGCAGACCGCTCGCTACTTCTGCTGTCTGTGCGTCGCTACTTTAGCACTCACTAGCTGTGGTGCGTGGTTCGTGCAATCAGCGGCCCGTAGGCCCGCAGGACACAAAAAAGGGGGGGTACGCGGGAGAAAAAGGGGGGTACCCCGTTATCGTATATTCGGCCGGGCCCCCTGGTGCTGAGCAAAACAGTTTTCCTTCAAGCGGGGAGTTTCCTTACCGCGAGCGTCCTTAAAGCGGGGTCGACTGTACAAGCACTGCAATTTCTGCCGTGTTATAGTGTTGTGTGCGGAACTTGTGTTGTGTGAGGATTACGACCTGAAAATGTACTACTTCGACGGAACAATGCAAATGACTGTCAAAGCACTGCCGTATACTCATCCCTCTTTGTTTTGTTTTCCTTTCATTTTTGTGTATGACTAGAATTAGTTTTGTCTAGAAATACGTATGTCTTAATCATGTGCCGTGATTCGCATAGTTCGTCGGACTGTGTCGGGGACATGCAATTCTACATGATGTAGGGTGGATGTGTTGGAACTAGTGGTTCAGCAGAACGACAAACATTCGATAATCGAAATCAGGATGAAATTAGCAATGTTCCCCGCGCGCGGTCTGCTCTTATGCTGGGGAGAAGACGTGTACCCGGAAGTTCACGTGCATGCCAAATAGTTCAGGTAGCTTGATATTGAACTTGTGACGAAGATACCATGATGAAATTTCATAGCTGATCGCGGTTGAAAATGGGCCGTTTGTTGGCATCCTCCCCCCTCCCCTCTTCGTTGTCCATCAGAGAGTGGAGCGCCGTCTGAAGGCTGGCCTCCTGGAGGTGGTTGTGGTCGGCGAAACTATGTTTGCCAATAGCATCGAGACTCTGTCCGATTTCGACTGGCTGACTGCCGTCTTCGACGAGTTCCACCACTACAAGAATCCCTACACCAACAAGTGCGCTGACTGTTGTGTACTATGTGTTGCCGTTGGTCTTTTTGGTTCTTCTTGCTGCTGTTGCTGTTGCTGCGCTTCTCGCATTGAGGCCCACTGCAGTAACCGTCTTCCCTTCTGCATCCTACCAAGCGAATGCGCAGAACAACCTCACTGTTGAACTGCTTGGCACACCCCGTATTGGAGTCATTCATCCAACGACGTTGAGGCGAAGCATAGGGGCTAGTGTGGTTTCAAAGACGATCGATTCTAGTACAAGAGATGAAGGGATTGGGGGGGGTGGGGGCATCTACAAGGCATGAAAGAGGAGTAAATCCCGTCGAACAAGGGGTAGGGAATAAAGAAATCACGCAACCCTTGGAGGTTTTGGCTCATGCTGTTAAGCGCCTCAGATTCAATGCAGGGCACACGGATTTGTTTCAGCCTTTTCGAGCGAAACAGCACCGTTGATCACGACCCATCGTCAGCCGTAAAGCGGTCATCAACCGACAGCCCGAGACGCATCGACCGCACAACAGGAATCGCGCTGTGCAGAAACTGGTCAACGCGGAGGTCTTCATCGGCCTGACGGGCACCTTGGTCCAGAACAACTTGGACGAGTACTGGTCCCTCCTGAACACGGTCCAACCCGGCTGTGTCGGGCGCCAGGACGACTTTAAGGTGGTTAGGGATTTCGCGCTGCAAACATACAGGAGAGGTGCCTTTGTGTGTAGTTGGCGGCGAGTAAACGAAGCTCCCGTTTCGAACTACATTATTGGCACTACCATGCTGTCGTTTTGGTGTCGTTAGTGCTGTAGCTGTCGGTACTGCTGTCGTTTCGCGAAACCACGGATTCTAGCATTTTCGCTCAGCAATCCTAGGTGGTGTAGGAACGCAGTTCATGCCTCCTCCGCCTTCCCTTCCCACGTTCATGACCCAGAGACCGCCGCCATGTCGCCATGTGCACACCGCAACCTGCGCTTCTCCTCCCCCGCATGTCTCTTCGAAATTCGCGTGGGTGTTATCCCCGCACAGCGACACTTTACAGAACCGATCCTACGGGGCAGGAAGCGCGGGGCCAGTAGGGCGGACGTGCTGCTGGGAAGGGAGCGCATCGACGAGATGGGTGTCACCCGCGACAAGGTCGTCCTTCGCCGCGTCAAGGTATCGTCGCGTCGCAGCAATCTTTCCCTCTCCCAAAGTCAAGCAGCGAAGATGTGTGTTGTTTTTAGTTTCTCCGCCCGGCGTCCATTTGAGCACAAGTGTCCGTGGTGCATTTCTTCCACCACCTTGCAGCTAGCTGCGCCGATTGGCATGTGTAATTTTTGCGATTGGTAGCGGCGAATTATTTAGCGTAAGGCTTTACGGCGTGTCGATAGGAGTTGGGGGAGGGCAGTGTGCCTACCTCCCAAGTGTGCCCCTTGTGGTTTTCCTGTTTGCGGCGCCCCTACACGCAATCTGCAGTCTTGTTTGCCAGGTGCGGCGTTGGTTCGGCTTTGTAACGAGCGCTGTTGGCCGAAAACGGGGTTCGACCTTTTCTTTTCCGTCGTTTCATGTTGCTGTTTATGTTGTCATTGTGCCATTGCTGGCACGTGCTTGATACGACGAGGATTCGTTTCGCCGCCCGCTTCTCGCAGGACATCCTGGGGGAATTGCTAAAGGGGAAGATCGGAACCGTGGTGAGCTGTTCGTGATGCTGGTTGTACGATGTCACGTTTCTGGTGTCAGATGGTGTCGCTGCTGCAGAATTCCTCGCGCGTGTGAGTGGCATGGGAGATGTTTGTGTTTCGCCACCACTCTTCTCGGCCTGGTTGAGAATTTGTTGTGGTTCCTTCCGGCTCGAAACTACATTGTGGAGGCTTGCACAAGGTTTGCGAAGCACCGGTGCACGCCGAGGCCGCCTGGCTCGGGAATATGCTCTATTTGCTCGATCAAGCACCTCCTCCCCTCTGACGAATGATTGACACGTGACGCTTCTGTTTCCTTACATCCTCCTGCTGAGTGTCCACCTTCATCGCCTCCGTATGGTCGGTACAAGCAATACCTGGTGTTAGGCGTTGAGCAAACCCACGCTCATTCAGCGCTGTTCTGTGGTTTGATCCATGCACATGCCGTAGAAAGAGCTGTCTTTTCCGTTTGATTCACGTCTCCGCTGGTGCTGGTGCTGGCTGGTGTCGCTGGTTTCTTGGTCCTACTGTTGCTGGGACGTGGGTGGTGCTGCTACACTGCGACGCATGACCCCATCTTGGCGTTTGTATGTCGTTTGTCATGTTTGTATCAGGTGTTTTGCAACCTCACGCACGTACAGAAGCTCGTCTACAAGACGGTCCTCTCTCTGCCAGAGTTCAAGCTTCTCGCCAAGTGAGTCGTTGATGTGCGTGTACATAGCTCGTGCTACTGAGTCCTCCTGTAGGCCACCCCATTTCTCATTCTCAACCCCTGCCTTCTTGCACGGCAACAAAAAACGTGGTGGTGATGTTGCCCCCCCTACGCCATCTTTGCTGTGCCGAACAAACCCCCGGGGGAGGGATTCTCCTTGACAGCAGTATCCACGCCAGTAATTGTTGTGGCGAGGCGTATGCGACTGTGCGTGGCTGTAGCCTATTCTGCGATGCGATCGGTGAACTCGACTCAGACAACAAGCCTTCTGTTGTTCGGTTTTTGTTTACAAGCATACGTTTTATTCTTCCCGGCGAAAGTACTGTGGTCGGCACTGCAATGAGAACGAGACAACGCGCCTTCAGCAACACACAATAGCCAGGGAGGCACGGCGTGCGTGGCAGTGTGCTTTGCTTGTTTTCTGTGTGAAAGCTGTCGCTGCGCTAGGGCTTGTGCTTGGACGCATGCGACGGAAGGTGACTGGTGGCAATACCGTTCAGCTTGGAGAAAATCACAATGCGCGCATGTCTTACTTCGAAAAAGTCAAGAAATATGCACACTTTCATACCGTCCATCCCTCGTGGTACTCACTGTTGTTATCGACATCGATGTCAGCCGCGAAAGTTACAGGCACGGTGCGCTTTCTCATCTCTGCGTTCGTTTGATGGCACGCAGTGCTAGCGACCCGTGCCCATGCGGACGGCCGGACGCGAGGAGCGGAAGCTGCTGCGGAATGTGGCCTCAGGACGACACCTCCGAAGACCTGGTGGACCCCCGTGCGGTCATCTGGCGCAGGTTCCACCCCGACCTAGAGGTCTGCAAGAAGGTATGGAGGCCTGCTTTCTTGGTTTTGGCACCGGGGTCGGTGGTGAGTTACGCTGAGAGTGGTGTTGCTCTGACGGCCGTGGTCATTGAGCTGCTGTTTTACCCACACTGTATAGTCGTCATCTACCTCCACCAATCCACCCCCCAGTGCGCAACCATGTCTCGTTTTCTGCTCTTACTGTATGGTCGTCTTCTGTCTCCACCAACCCACCCCCCCGGTGCGCAACCATGTCTCATTTCCTCTTTTTGCAGGGGCCAGGGTGCCCGTACTGCTGCTCGTTTTCGGCCATTTCGAAGCTGCAGAAGCTTGCCAACCACCCTTCCTTACTGCAGGTAGGCTCGGCCACAAGGCTTGTTTCGCGCGATCCGCAGTGCTCTACCAGTGTGGCTAGTTGTCGTAACGACGGCGGGGCTTGAAACAGCCCGTTCCTCAGGAAACCCCGTCAGTTGGATAAATTTGCTGGCTCTGTTGCATCACAGCAGTGTCACAAGACACGGAAAGACCCAACACAGTTCTTTGTAAGGCTAAATACGGTTACGGCGTGGCTGTGGTGCTTGTGGTTGACACCTTGCGTCGGGTAGAAGTTGTGACGCTGGGAGTATTCTGCTACCTTGTACATTTTCTAGACAAGACAGCAGCCAACTGCTGTTGAGGGTTTGGTTTTCTCCAAATTTCGCTTTGCCTTTTCGATGTTTCTTTGTTTCAGGACAGGAGAAGCTTCGTAGATACGTTGGTCGTGCCATCCGACATCGTGTCTTGCATGTGTTTTGGTCAACGGGCATGTCGATAAAGTCGATTTGCGGTCACAACGAGCGCATGGAGAGACAAAACATGTTGCCAAACAGTTGTGCATTGGTTTAACTGCCACACGCGTACGGGGAGTGGTAGTACACTTCCGCACACCTCCAGGTGGCGAATTTATTCTCGTTTGTCAACAGTGCGTCTTCCCCATGACATGGGACACGTCTGCAGGTGAAGCCTCCGTACAAGTACGGAGACAACGCGCATAAGATGCTCGATGACATCGCCTTCGCCAACGTGGCTTTCGACGAGGAGGCCAGGGCCATCATGGCCGGCCTCCCCGGACAGCACGGCGGGGGTGTGGCTTCAGGGAGTTCCATCGGGGCAGGAAGAGGGGCCGGTGGGAGGGGCGGAGGTGACGAATGGGACAGGAGGCTGGCGCGGCCGGAGAACTTCCTGCAGCTCTGTCGAGACGACACTTGCGGCAAGATGAGGACACTCAAGGTGCGCGCGTGTGTGGCAGCATTTGAACTTGGGTAGTGACGGGGTTGAGAGTTTGTTCTTTGATGTCTCGTCGTGAATCCACTTTGGTGCCAAACCGCTGTTGTTATGGTCGTTCCTGCTGCTAACTCGTTGGTTCAAGCGTCGTCTCCCAGTCACTTATCCGCCTTGATTCGATCGTGCAGGTTCTGCTGGAACGCTTCAAGAACAAGCAGAAGGTTCTCCTGTTCAGCTACAGCACGGCGATGCTCGACATCCTCCAGGTACGTGTTGAGGTGCTTCAGTCGGGAACAACACTTGCTACATGTAGCTGCTGTTTGTGTCCGCAGGTTGTTTTACGTTCTTTGTTACTGCTATTGGCATATTTCCCCCTCTGTGTATCCTATCCTTCCCAATACAAGGATCCCGACAGGGCGCTCACGGTACCGTCACCACCCGCCTTCCCTCCTAGACATTGAACTTAGTATCGCATGTAGCCATGAACCTCCCATCTTAGAAGAAAACATTCAGAGAAGGAGGGAGGAACGAGGGCGAACTAGTAAGCAGCCAGGGCCGTGACGAGTAGGGGTCTCGGCGGGGTATCTCGAAAGCCACGCGCCGCTTTCACTAGAGCTGCCTCGACCATAGTTTATGTTCCCACCTCCCTTTGAGCCCCTGTCAGACTGGGCTTTGAACTCCGAGAGTGGCGAAGTCTTACAGCTCCGACAACGGGCGAGATATTGTAGAGAGGGTGCTGAAGCGTCCCAACGACAGCTGTCACATCGTCATGTTGCCACCTCCGACCGCCGCTTACTTCCCTCGTCACCGCTGTTTGCTGTGCCGCCGCCGCCTTGAAATGCTCCGAAGTGTTTGTTTATCCGCTACCCTACCGTTTTTTTAGTGCTCCGTTCCTTTGCCTTTGCCGCCGCGTCTGCTCCCCGGCCGCCGCCTGAAACGATGCAGGCGCTCTGCTCTAGCCAGGGGTACACGTTCCTCAAGCTGGACGGCAACACGGCGAAGGACCAGCGGCAGAAGATGATCGACCGGTTCACGAAGCAGAATGCGATCCAGAGTAACGTGTTCCTCGTCAGTACCACGGCTGGCGGAACCGGACTCAACCTCCAGGCTGCTAGCAAGGTCATTTTGTACGACGTCAACTGGGTGAGAAAACGAGTGGTGCCCTTCGGATGTGCTGTTGGTCCGTTTAGAATTTTGAGATCATGGTTTACACGTCTCACGTCTCAAGCGCTACAATGAGTACCCTCCCGCACCGTCGCCCTCCGTAGAACCCTGCGCAGGACGCGCAGGCGGAAGACAGGGCGTACCGGATCGGACAGCTGAAGGAAGTGGAGGTGAGGATGCACTGTGCAGAAGGGGTATTGTCTGTTGGGTGTGACTTGATCTAGTTGGCTGCACCGGTTCGGATGGAAGAAAATCGCCCCGGCGTGTTCATGGGCCAAGACCCACACGAGGGGATTGGAATGGTAGGTTTGAGCATGTTGTTGGTGTTGGTAAATATGTGACATCGTGCTAGGGTTATGTACTGTTTGATATCCTGTGGAGTTTGGGAACGATTGGCCTCGTGTCTTCAACTGGTTGATCGGTTTCAAGACCCAGTTGTAGCGTCCAAGCTTAGATTGCCGTACCTGGTCACTGTTTTTTTTCAGGCGCTGGCAATTGCATCACCTTTCCTTCTTTGTTTTCTGCGGGCTTCGCAAACTGGTTGTCCAGTATTTTCCTGTGAGTGAGAATGCTGCCCGTACCCCTTATCGTGTACGGCAGGTGTTTCGCCTGGTGAGCACGGGGACGATCGAAGAGCTGACCTACATGCGCCAGATATACAAGCTTCAGGTGATGAGAGTTATCTTGCCGTCCATTTTCCCGCTTGTGGAAAGCAGCAAAACAGCAAAGAGGCTAAAGAAAGCCTAGTCGGTAGCCTGGTAGACCTTTTAGAACATTTGACGCAGGATGTTTGATCCCTGTAGGTTCTTCAATGTGCCCTCGCTTGGTGACAAGCGGTTTCGGCCGCAACAAGACGAGGTAGTTTGCGTCCTGTGGTTAGTGCGGTACGATCGCAAACTTAACGTTGAAGGTTTCGCAGCATTCGTCGCAGGGATGGAAGCCAGTGGTGTTGTACAAGAATCTGGCCTCCGGCAGCCCTCGCTATGTAGCTCATTCCCTCCCCGCTCCCGTCAAGACGATGCGCTTCATTTTTCCGCCAGTTTTGCATTGGGCATGTTTTTGGTCGCTCGGTGCTTCTTCCAGTGAGCTCTGAAGGCGATATCGACGAAATCGTAATCACACGTCCTCGTTTGTGACCACCACACGTGATACCGCCATTGCTTGCCTTGCGGGATGACAACACGCTACCAACTTCTCGCAGACCAGCGCTGCGACAATGGGCGAGAAGGCCGAGGGAGGGTTGCGGCAGTTCGAGGGGGTCCAGGTAACGGTTTTGCCTCACGTCGGATGGGTTACTGCGGTGCGTGCTCCCGTACGCACTTGGCGCTTATGGCAGCGGGCAGCCGGTGTGCGTCTTTGACGCCCACTTCTACCCGAGCCCCTTCCCGAAAATAGTAGTCTTGCCTAGTGCGAAAGAGGCTTACCGACGACAAAGGGTAACAATGTGTTCCTAGAAGCAAGGGAGATGTCTCGTGTGCATGTGTGTACTCAATCATCCTACGCCGGAGTAGAGCGGGATGCGAAGCCTGTAGTGACATGGCTTGAGATTCGCTTCGTCCTTTTCTTCGTTCTCCCCGTCGTACCATGCTTTGGTTTGCGCGTATGCTCGTGTTTCGAAGGGAGTTCGTGAGGAGCAGGGGGAGCTGTGGGGTATCAGCAACCTCATGAAGTTCTCGGGAGAGTCGATGCTCCTCGAGCTAAGACACAAGTTCGGCAATGGTCTGCCGCCGCTTTTACCTGACTCGAAGGTGTATCTAAACGGCAGGTTTGGACTGATTGTAACGCACAAGTTCGCTGCAGGTTTTAGAACCAATCATGCACACGTACACGTTACCACGTTACTGTTGGCATGTTGACGGACGGGCAACCCTGCGACAGTTTCTTTCCCTGTTGAAGCAGAGATAAAACACTTGTCGGAATCACCTTGTACCTTGGTACACGCCACCTGCGCCACGCGCGCTAGCTTGTATGCATTTCCTTGCCAACATCCACTTATCGCCGCCTTCATCGCTTCCCCTACCTTCCGGGGACCCCTCTCGTCCCAGCCCGTTTGTAATCCCTCGATTCACCCCAAGTATCCTCGGTTTTCTCAAATTGGTGCGCTGCCCCGTGACAACAGGATGGCCTGGTGATGGAACCGCAGACGAACGTCGTGAACATCATCAACAGCTTCGGTACGTGCCCTTTTTGAGAACCCATCACCTCTTGAGTCGGGACCAAGGTTGGGTGCATCTTGAAGGAACAAAAGTACGTTCCTAAAAGTACAGTGGTGAACAATCGATATTTAACCCGGAGAATACAACGAACCCTCAGTCGCAAAGGGGGAAAGATGGAGATTTCCCGCCCGCCCTTTTTTCCCGACCAGCGAGAGTTCGAAACCAGGACGAAATGACACCATCAAATCTGGCTTCAGGCGACTCGGAATCGAACCAAACGTCGGGGCGCGCCGGTCTGGTTACACGCACGGCGCGTGCCCCATGTGCCCATCAAAATATCCCCACGCATACCAGCCACCCGGGAGGAGGAGAGAGCGAGAGACAGAGACAGAGAGAGACAGAGATAGACAGACAGAGACAGACTAGTACACATAGGGCCCAAAACACGTCGCTATAGCGCTGACGGTTATTGATTGTGTCCGTGACGATGCTGGTGTGCTCGTAGTGCTCCCCGCGTGCATATTGAATCTCTCATGCACGCGCCCCGCGAGAAAGCAGGGGCGTCTCGCTGTTCTGATGTGACAGTATATGGGCGAGAATGGCCTGGCCTGCTATCTAATGCGTCGTCGTTCTGCGGTACGATTCCTGTGTACACCTTGCTGTGTTTCCTTCCCTCTCGCGGTTGCACTCATCAGCCGCCGCCGGTAGCACCGTTGCGGCAGAAGAGGACGCCCAGCAGCGCGATGCGGCCAGCGGGGAAGAGGAGGATGAAGAAGAGGAGTTTAAAGACGTGAGCGGCTGACATGTTTGTTGATCCCCGCTTTCAAGTCTTTCGAAGTAGTTCTTTCCCGGCTCACACTACGTATTGTTCCATGGCAGTCGATCTCACAATAAGAGACCGTGGAAGTTCATGTGGGATACGTGTCTCTCGCGCACGTTGCTCCGATAAGATGATTTTGAGCAAAAAGTGACTTTACGCGTTTCCAGGATGCCTTGGAAGGTGGCGGTGCGGGAGGGCGAAGCCAGAACGCCGAGCTCGGTGGCGTGGTGATGCGGCACGATGAGATGGTGGCTGCGGATAGGGAGCAAGAGCTTCCTCCAGGGTCTCAGGAGAGCATCGCTGAAGTCGACATGATGGTGAGCCAGTGGGCGGAAGGTTAGGCGGATGTGGCTGGAGGGGGGGAACTCCAAGGGAAATATCATCGTGCTCGAACGGCAGTTGTAAGTTGTTTTTTCCCGGAGTGGGGGGAAGCATCGATAACATCAACGGCAAGGATACGGGTCGAGGGGAGGAACAAGAGGAGGCGCATCACCTTCGTGTTGAGTGTTGGTGTTTTCGGGTGTGCACTCCCTGCTCGGGCTCTGGGTGCTTGTTGTTGTAGGAGTGAGGTGGTGCTTTGGGCCATGTTGGCGGGATGTTGTACTGACAAGTCTACGTCGAAGGAACACCCTACATGGAGTCCGTGCTGAAATGGTTGACGCTTGTGCTCGACGTACCCCATGCGCACAGTCTCACTACCTGTCATATTGAACCGACAGGATGATCAGAGCACCGACGATGAAGCACCGGGCGTCGTAGGCGGCGGCGAAGACAACAGCATCGTGTCAGCCGACCCATCTACGGCGCCATCGGTTAGCAGATCTGCTGGTGCCGCCCCGGGAGGGCCTTCGATGTTCGACACGGCCACCCAGGAGCGAGACGTAGGCGAGGAGAACACGACACCTGCCGTTTCTTCGGCCGCTAGTGCCACGACCGACCTTGGTGGCCCCGTGCAACTCACTCCTGACCTAGATGAGAGCAGGGTTGGCGATGCTCGGCAGCGTCATACAGCAGCAGCGGCAGCAGCAGCAGCAGCAGCAGCAACAACTTCGCCGACAATCGTGCGTGGGATCGCGGCGGAGGCCGGGTTAGGTTCGCACGGGGAAGCGGAGGCAGCGGCAGCAGAATCACTTAGCCCCTCCTCACCGGTCGACCATGCCCCGGGCCGCGGTGATGGCGCTTACCGCGGTCTTGAGGACAGACAGAACGAAGGCGGGGCGGGACTGTCAGCAGCGGACGAGCCGAGCTGGGCGCTGGCGCCAACGCAACCGCGGCAACAACAAGAACCCTGTCGCCTGTCCCTGGCATTAGGTTCGTCGCCGTCGAATCACGGCGGAGCAAGCGACGGGGCGAGAAGGCGCGCCGTCGGTGGTGGTTCGTCTCAAGTGCAATCGAGGGCTGGAATGGAAGCAGCAGCGGCGGCAGCGGCGGCAGCGGGAGATCGTGGGGGTAGGGGTGATGCGCTGAGTCAGCGGTTCTTCTGGGCGCCTGCCGCACAGGAACCGTTTGATACCTCGGGTTACGACCACGTGACGGGAACGAAAGAGGAGGGGGGGGGGGGGGGGGGGGG